TCTTGATATTCAATAGATTATAGCATTCAATAGAGAAAACTTAGATCCAAATACGTTGCATGTGAACTTAAGAGTTTGGTTATTTTCCGCCACATGAAATTTTTTAACCTATAAAACCTATCGGTTGCCGCCAGCCTGCTCAATGTGTCAATTCTTTTGTTTTCACTTTGTTTTATTTGCTCAATTGTGAACACGTCAAAAAATGTTGTTGTATTGCTTACTGCGTTTACATATTTTTCCATCCAAGCATCTCTCACGTCATATGTCCCATTGATTTGGTTGGTAACGAGTAATGAGTCAGTTAAGACGCTCAGTTTTTGCACCCATCTCGATCACCAGCTAGAAAGGCCTCATGTTCCGCTTCATTATTAGATGTTTCGAAGTCAAAGCGTAATGCGAAACTTATATTGTCTCCTTCAGGATTAGTGATGATGAGACCATCTCTTGAACCCTCCTTTTGTACTGCATCGTCTGTATATAAAGTCCACATGCATGACGTTTCCTCGTGGTCAGGGCGCTTATGATCTTTATGGTCATTGCACTGGTCATCCGATATCTCTGTCAAGATGTCTATGCACTTGACTCTTGGTGCTTGTTCTCGGATGGTACTCTATGTCATGTTCTCCCAACTCTATGTCTCACTTTGCCAACCTTCCTGAATTCTCTGGTTTTAATAGGACATGTTTGAGCGGTTCTGTTGTCAGCACCTCGACACGATGGGCTTGGAAGTACCGTCTTAGTCTCTTTGTTGAGTAAACTAATGTCAGTACTAACTTTTCTAATATGGGGTAATTCATTTCCGCTCCTTGAAATGCTTTGTTAACAAAGTATATCAGCAGTTGCCTTTTTCCTCTTTCAACTTTCAAGACTGTCGATATGGCGTCATTTGTGGTAGATAAGTAAATTGAAAATGTTTCACTTGGGACGGGACTAGCCAGGGTTGGCAGTATCTGGAGGGCTTTCTTTAATTCTCGTAATGTGTGCTCTGCTTGTGGTGTCCATTGAAAATTACACTTGTCTACACATCCCTTTAGATCTAGAACAATGGTAAGGCTTTATCTGCTGATCTTGCTAGGAACCGTCCCAAGGCAATGATCTTTCCGTTTAATGCTTGCATGTCCTTCAAGCTCCTTGATTATGTTGTGTCTATCAAATGATTCACTTTTTCTGGGCTCGACTGTATTCCCTCATTCGTGACATAGTACCCCATGAATTTGCCCTCATGTACTCCAAATGTGCACTTCACTGGATTGAGTTTCATGCAGACTTTTTCTAATGTTCGTAATGTTTCCTCGATATCTTTGAGTAGTCCTGTCTCACCCAAACTTTTAATCACTATATCGTCCACGTATACCTCTATATTCCTGCTAATCCGATCCTTGAAGATTTTGTCAATCAATCTTTGATATGTTTCTCTCACGTTCATCAAACTATAGGGCATCTTTTTTTAACAAAAAGTTATGTGATCCGTGTAGAATGTTGTCCTCTCTTCGTCTTCTTTCTTCATTAATAATTGGTGATAGCCCTTGTATGCATCTAAAAAACATTTCCATTGAAACCCTTGTAGTAGTTCAACCTTTTGGTCTATCTCTAAGAGTGGATAGAGTCTTTAGGGAAAGCTTTGTTAAGGTCTGAGTAATCTATGCTCATCCTCCAACTTCTATCGCTCTTTTTCACCATAATTAGGTTTGGAATCCACGTTGGGAAGATGGCCTCTCTGACTAAGTTGGATTCCACAAGCTTTGCGACCTTAACATTGATTGATATGTTTTTCTCGTGGATGTTTGACACCCCTTCAGATATTCGTTGTTCCTATGATCTAGTAGCATTTGTATTTTCTTTGTGTTTCAGCTATGGCTACTGCTGGGTCATTGACAGTATGTAATTTGACGATTCCATGGATTGTAGATGGTATGTCTCCGAATTTATGCAATGATGTCCTCCCAAGGATAATATTGTGTTCGCTGGGTGGTGTATCACAACGAATTCTATCAACACCGTTTTTTGTCGCTTGTTATCGTGGCTTCACAGGGACAACGGTAGGTAGATCATCCCTGGCGGCCAGAGACTGTGACCTATAAATCCGGTTAACCTGTCGGCTTAGGGTTGGATTCTTTCTCTCCACTTTTTGGGAAGTTTCTTGAAGCATTGTTCGTAGATTATGTCTGCGAAACTTCCCGTTTCTATATATACCCTGTAGATCACGATATTACAGACATATGCTTGAATTGTTAGCGGATCAGTCCCATTCCAGTTTGATGGTTTGGGATCATCTATAGAAAAATTGAGGTTCATCATGTTCTTTTCCAGGTTATATATGTCTTTTGCTCGCGAGTAGCTTCTTCAGTATGCGCGAATAGCTAATATTTCATGTACCTTCTCTGTCATCTCACCGTTACCCCTTGTTTGTCTACGCGGTGTTCTTCGCTCTTCCCATTGAGTTCGTAGATTTCGTGTTATCTCGATGATATTTCCTTTTAGCTTATTCTCCTCTATTTCGCATCGGAGAGAGGTGCAATCAGTTGTGTCATGTGTTGTGCATGTGCTTCGATGGTACTCACATAATATGGGTTTTCCTTTGGCATTCTTCTCTTGTTTCCTATCGATTACCGCATAGATATCTGTCCGGCGTAACCTTTTGTCGTCTCTTCAGTATGGTTGGTACCATTTCGAGGATCTAGCCACCTGGAAGGATTGCCTGTGATTATTATTGCTTCCCTCAACGTTGTAACTACTGTATTGATCAGCATGTCGGGATTTAGCATCGACTATTGCTTTGAGGTATGCTTGTGTGTCCACTGTTCCTATTTATTGTCGTAGGTATTTCTCTACCCGCTCCTTGATTTCTTGTCGTGTCTGAGGTGTCTTCCCAAAAAAATTTCTGGATAATTCGTCTGGCAATAATCCCCATGTAAATGCGCCAGTGACCATACTTTCGTCTTGTCCTCGTGTGTCTAGAGTTGCTTTGGTGAAACGATTAAAATAATCTTTCACTGATTCTCCATTCTTTTGATTATACCCGATGATTACATGTGTGTCTCCCGGTACTTCCTTAGCTGCATGAAGTTGGTTAGGAAGGCGTATTTCAATTGTGCTAAGTTACTTATGCTTCCAGGGGTCAATGTTTTGAACTACGTGTCGATGTTTCCATCTAAGGTTGTGGGAAAGTAGGTGCACCAAAACCTCTCGTTCAATTTCAACGAGGTCATCGTCCATTCACAAGTTTCGATATGGCTTTCTGGATCTGTTATCCCATTATATGTTTTCAACATCGGAAGTTTGGAGGTGCTTGGTATCTCGTAATTCAATAGGTCCATTGTAAACGGAGAACTCACGCTACGCCCTATTGAGTTGTGGGAGAAATAAGGTTGAAAGATTGGTGTGTGAGTGAAAGTATGGTGAGTGGTGTAGCGATATGGAGGGTTTTGTAATGGCGTATAGGTATTTGCATTGGCATTAGGGAAAAATGTAGGCATTACGGTTGGGAGTGTTGGTTGTGCCTTCTGTGGTGTACTGGTTGTCGGCGTGAACGTGTAGTTTCAATGGACCACGTTCCATGCCAAAAGACCATTGGTTGATTGTGTCGGTTATTAGCTTCCTTATTGCTAACAAGTACAGTGTAACGGTTTATTTTCTTAGCAAAGAAGGTTCGTCAACATGTTTTCCACTATGACTTGGTTCTCAAGACATTTCAACTCATAAAGTTTTTTTTATTGCTCGTATTGTAGATGATCATTATGTGAAGTTGATATAAAAGAGCATATCCGATGCCTACTATTTTACCACTATGGTGTTACTTATGAATGAACGATAACAGATCCAGACATCCATATCGAAACTTATAAATGTAGGATGACCTCGTTGAAATTGGACGAGAGGTTTTGGTGCACCTACTTTCCCACAACCTTAGATGGAAACGTCGGCACGTAGTTTAAAACATTAACCCTTGGAAGCATCAGTAACTTAGCACAATTGAAATACACCTTCCCTTTAATTCTTTAGCCATTTTCACACTTCTGGTCCTTGCAGTCAAAACTTTTACATTTTTTGTCTGGGGCAAAGCCCGGACTTTTCACCCTTGCACTTTCTATGTCTGTCATATTTATCAATTCGGAAACAACATTGAAAGCTTATTGCCCCCGCGTAGCGGAGGTAACCTTTCTAGTTTTAATAATGATTATGTTTAATGAAATAAAAAACGTGTATATATACATTATGTTTATAAACATACTTTTTTAGCAAACATATTTATATATACTTTATATTTATAAATAAATTGATAATAAAATTTTTGAAAATCAATTTTAAGTCTACTAGAATAATTCATCACATTATATTTATTTCGCAAGAAATCGTACCCGGGTTTAAAGCTCCAATAATTACATTTCGGATTCTTAATTTTATTGAGAGCTATAATAAACTATGGGCCAAAAGCCCAAAACCGAATTTTATGAGTTTGTAAAACGAAAATTGAAGCGTATCTGTTGTATGATTACACCACATATATATTGTACAAAATATGTGTTTAATTTATAAGTTCTAATGGTATCGAATAATATTTATGTCGTTATAAAAATAATTGTCTAAAACTATTAAATAATATTTGTCACTATAAAAAATAATTTATAAAATATAATTAAACGTTAATACTTAATTGATAAATATTTAACATTTATATTTATATCGTCAAAATCGAATACATCCTTCGCCACTTTAATTATTATCATCATTATTATCTTCAGGTTTCATTTAATATAAGTTAATAAAATATATAGGATGGGATAGAAAAAGTTAGCAGGGGGATATAATAGAAAATCCCTTTTGAAATTCAATATTTAGATAATGGTGCCGCCTGATTGTTCATGCAAACACACACACCACCTTCGTTCTGTAGCTCCGTTGGATTTCTGTTACGCATCTCTGGAAAGTTCTTTATTACAGTATATATAGGGCCACCACTCCGCTTCATTTTCCAAAATCCATTTTCCACAATGAAAATCATGATGTTCCTGTTCCTCTTTCTGATTGTTGAGGTTTCTGCCATAATCCCTTCCTTCAAAGTCCCCAGATCCAACTTCACTCAACACGGAACGGCTTTTCAATACGATGACGCTCTCGTCCTGACGGAGATGCACTGTGCTGTTCACCGGTCAGCAACACAAACCGGCAGAATTCACCATGCAATCCCCATAAAATTCCTAGATCATTCGTTTCAGCCCTTTAGTTTTTTCTATTCCAAACTTCAGTTCTCTGTAAACTGTCAACCACGGCAATGTCCGCCTGGTGACGGCCTGGCTTTGGTAGTTACCTCCGATTCGTCATTGTTCGCTTCCGAGTCCAGTGGGAGCTTCGGACTCCCCGCCGATAAACTTCACGATTTATCGTTTGTGGCTTTTGAATTTGATACATCATATGATGAAGTCTTCTCAGATTTAAACGCAAATCACGTTGGAGTCAACATAAATTCTTTAATGTCCATGGCTGCTGTGGATCTAAACACACATGGAATGAAGTTGACCAGTGGCGTACAAATAACAGCATGGATTTCATATTCTCAGCCTGATACCTTAATTCAGATTTGGATGTCGTATTCATCTACAAAACCTCACCATCCTATTCTAACAGTTCCAGTGGATCTGTCGACGTACTTTACTGGTTATATCTTCGTCGGCTTAACCGCCTCCAATAGAGGAGGTTCAAGCAGTCATATCGTTCATAGTTGGTATTTCAAGAGTTCTGAATCTCCCTACATCGCCGGAGAAGCTGCGGGGCCGGAATTTTGTGATGTTTGTTTTCCAGGTCCTAGAAGGTATTTGATAGATTTCACCATCACTAATGTGCTTTTTTTCTTTGGCGTGCCTGCTTTGATTATCGTATCCCGGTCGGTGTGGAGTTACACTCTTCGTCAAGCTAAGAGAGTTAGAGTGAGTTTTGATGATGCAGGTTAGGGATAGATATGAAAGTAGATATGAAAGTAGTATAATATGATAAATAATGTTGTCCTGATTTGATCCAAATGATGAATAAAAGTTTGATTGTAATTCAATGGAATGGAATGGAATAGAAGTTTGATTACTAATGGAAAACGTTCTATATTACTATTTTACTGGTTTTATATCATCGATTGTTATGTAATTTCGCCTGGCGATTTGAATTTGTTATGTAATTTCGCCGGCCAATTTGAATTACGTTTTGGTTTCGATATGGAGGAACTAGGACGCATGTTGGTTCAGATCCTTTAAAAACACACACAACACACACTATGATAGAAAGAAGATTGGCAAGTCTCATTGAATACTACATCTTTGCCTAACTGCATATGTTACATATAAATAAGAGCAATTTTTCCACATGGCATTGTATTAGCCCGCCCCAAGCAATTTATCCCGCCTAAATTACTTAAGTGATTTTCCCAAACTACCCTTGTGCCTCTTATTCATTCGTTATCATCGGGAGACATCAGCTTATCAATTTGAAACCCTAATCCAGTCGCTCATCAATCGCTGGCTCCCTCTCTCTTTGGTCAAAACCACCATTGCTACCTGTTTCTCTACTCAAGAAAATGGTAGCATCTCAACGAAAGAACACCATTTATGACGACTAAAGACTTACACACACAGTAGGTCTCTCTCTCTCGCTGGTTTACGATCATAAACCACCACATACTACATGTAATGGTTTCTTTCCCTTCTCAGGTTTGATATTTGATTATTGATTCCCAGATTTGGTTCTTAAAATTTTCTGATTTCCAAATCCCTTGGCGTTAGCGGTTGATTTGATCTCCTTTTCGAAAGACGGACGAGGAGGAGAAAAGGGTATGTTTCAAACCCTAAAACAATTTGAAGGTATGTTCAATAATATCATGATCCATCTTATTCTCATCTCTATTCCATGGTTATGTGTTTCAGCATTCTGAGTGATCGTTTTCTTATTTCTCCTCGCTATTTAGGTTACATGTATGCCAAGTGTTTGTGAAAATGCTTAAATGAAATACAACTATTTAAGGTTATATGCTATTTACATGTGTATGTATAATGTATCATATCACATATGCATGTGCAAGAACCATGACTAAACTATTGAATCTGCCTTCTTGAATCCAGATAGCGAAGAAAACAAGCAAAGGTTGAAAAGAGAACGTCCAGATGACATACCAACACACAAACCAATACCTGCTTCTAACAAGTCTATGGATGATCATCTTTCTCATTGCAAGAACCAGAGAGCATATGATAAAAGCAGGCTTTGTCGAGGTTATTATCCACCAAGTAAACCTTGCTTTGTTAATACTTTGATATGATGCTTCATTGTAGTGTTCCTTTTTCTATTATATTTCTGATCATGTTTTTATCCACTGTTAACTTATAAGATATAGAGACGAAGTTGTGGAAACTATTGTGTCATTTATATTTTTTAAATGGTATTAGCTAATATATCACATAATGAACTCTTTTAGTGCAAATTACAAAAATATAACTCTCATGTTGCATAACAAAAAGAATGATAAAGTGATTCACGCTCAACTATTTAATCATATGGCTTTTTTTTTTTACCTCTGATAACATGATAATAACATGACAGGGGAACGAAAATACAACTCTGAAAAAGTAGTAGAATGAAAGGGAAATGAGATTACAGGGCTGAAAAGAAAAAAGGTAAGCATGCTACTCTATTACCTTTTTTTAACAACAAGATTTAAATCACACTGACTTTACTCAAATTTCGAATTGCTTGATACTAAGTAAAATATATTTATTATTGTAGTTTGAACTGATGATTTCTTTTGGGCTATAAATGAACCTTGAGTAAATGATGGTGTAGGGGTTATTCAAAAATCAAGATAGAACCCAAGGCTTGCTTGTCAATTTTGTGGAATGAATCAAGATATATAGTTAGTCTTTAATTTTGGAGTGCATCTTTTTAAAAAAATGATTGTTACCCCAAATGATATTTCACAAATGATCAAATTTTTTAATAAACTAAATGAATCAAGTTGATACTTACCACCATTACACAGCACTTAAACTCAAGTGGGTACTTACATGTGCTTGCTGTTTCTTAATCACTTGCTATTAAATCCATTACAACGCCTGTAATGAAAACTTAACATAAAAAAGATTTATTCCTTTTCTTTAGATCCAATAGCCTGTACCCATTGTTTTTGATCCTTTTGACTCCAAGATTTACTATATATATATATATATATATATATATATATATATATATATATATATATATATATATATATATCATGTTTCCTATATCCAGGTCCTAATCTCCAATAGCCATCACTATCTCTACCAAAAGCAAGGGCCATGGAATGCTAACCAGAAAGTTAGTAGTTGAGTCTCTTTGAATTTTTAGAAGATAGATATTTATACAAAAAATGGTGTATTGATTGAGATGAGGGGTAATTTTGTCTTTCTGTAATTGGGTGTTTGGTTATTTCTATTAATAACTATCTGTTATATTTATAGATATGTTTGAAGATTTTTATGGTGGGCATTATTGATATAAAATTTGTGAAAAGGTTGGTGTTTTTTTTGTTGTTTGAATGGTGATATTATATTAAGGTGTGGAGAGGCAAGTTTGTTAAAGGGCAATTTGGTAATCTTTACCAAAAGAAAATTGATCCAGGTTTGTAAGGGAGTTTTCCATGGAGTAGGATTAATGCAAGAAAACGTGAGTTTGTTTAATTCAGAAGAAACATGGTCTTTTAGTTGTAATAGTTGATAGATGTGTGAGATACTATGATGGATGTGTTTCATTCGGCTTCATTATAAGTCTTAAAGCCAATTGTTTTTTATGGAATTTGGCAAAGAATTCTTCTTGGTTGATTAAGGACTTAATGAAAGATCATATGATTTTCCAAATTGGAGTACCACTTTTGCATCTTAGAATTAATCGAGTATTGGAATTGTAGAAAAAGAGACCGGGAATTTGGAAATGGTATTTTGTAGATATCATGTATGGTACTGATTATACGACTTGTACTAAATGCATGTGGATTTTCCTTTTTGGAATTTTTTATGGGTAGATCCGATAAATAAAATGATAAAAAGATTTATGAATTTTAATTACAACTTATCTTTAAAAATTAAAATTGTATTTTATAGTATATATATATATATATATATATATATATATATATATTATATATATATATATATATATATATATATATATTTGTCTAAAGTAATGTTAATTTCAAAAGTCATTGCAGTAGCAAATATCCACACTCAATATGCCCAACATCAGTATAGTCAATAGGCACATGTGTGCTGGTCAATATAAAAAACAAACAAATTCAATTGATTTTGTGCAACTACTACTTCAATGAGGAATTTACATTTTATAAAACCAGACTAGCATGACATGCATTTATCAAATGGAACTTGATAGAGAACGAAGAGTATAATTATTTATTTTACTATGAAATGATAGTTTGTAAAAGTTTTATGCATTATTTGGTTTGTATTATTATTATTATTATTGTTATTATTATTATTATTATTAATGAACGATCACATTTGAAAAGTGTGGTTATGATAAATTGTTAGTGATCGATTTTTTTGAGTAACGTTTTTCATTAGAAATCATTTTTTTTCCTTAACCGTGGTTTCTACGGATTTAAACAAGTATGTTATTGGTTTTGTGGTATTGGAGTTTTTCGAATACTTAATTATTTTTTAATTTTAATATCATTCTTAGTGTACTTTTTAGTATGTAAAGTATAAAAATATAAGTTTTTAACTGAAAACTAACATTTATACGATTGTGGTCAATTTGATATTTTCACCATTTTTATGTCCTTTTTATCATTTCGCCGATTGTGAATGTTTTGTATGTTGGTACATAATATGATAGAAAGCTTCAACTTTTGGTAGAATATCATTTATTGTTCATTAAATCACAAATAAAAATTGTTTCATATATCTTGAAAAGTAATTTAAATTTTTTTTTAATAAACAGTTATAATGTTACATAAATAAAAACATAAATCTCTTAATTAATAATTTATTTAAAATAATTGATTAATAATTATGATTTTTTAAGAGTAAAAAAATTAATTATAAAAAAACCCGTGGTTTCCACGGGCTATAACCTAGTTAGATATATATATATATATAATATATATATATATATATATATATATATATATATATATATATATATATATATATATATATATATATATAAAAGAGGAGATAACCCACTCTACTGCCACCTAATCAATATTTTAAATACTAAACAACTAATTAATTACTCCTAAAGAAAAGGTCCTCATTTATTTCCCAAAGACCCGGTCATATTCTGACTAAGTCAGAATTAAACCCAACAGTCCCCAGAACCTAGACCGCAACCCCAGCACCACCACGAATATGGCGATGAGGATTATGAAGAAGACCACAGTGTCATAAACACAGCCCGCATCCCGAATTTGGTGATGACGACGTATTCACCTGAAGTGTTTCCATCAATCAAACTCTAAATAAACACCATCATTCAAAGTGTTACCAGGGAGAGAGCTTTCCAAGCTGGGAATCCTGCAGTGGGACCAAGAGTGGCTGCAGTAGCTTGTGTCCATATTGTTGAGGATGATCACTTATTAGCTTGTCAATTGACATATTTCTGTTTTTAATTTGTGATTAGGCTGATCAAGAGAGACAAAGAATCTCTTTAGGAATGAAGGGATCATATTTTGATATTGAAACACAAGAAATTCATAATTCTGATGCATCTGAAGATGAAGATTATGTTCTTCCTCTTGAAGTTACTTTAGATGAAGAAGCAGATGAGTCACCTATGCAGGAAGAACAAGCTCAAAGTCCAGAGCCCCTTGATAACAACAAACTTGAAAAGATGAGAACAAAAGTAAGTAAACCAAGAAGAAAGGTATGCACATTGGCTGATAATCTCTCCTTCCCTTCCCTTCCCTCACTATGAAAAAGGCAGTATCATAATTTTGAAGTTCTTTTGTAACCAGGGAGCGAGAAATTCGGAAAAAATCTCATAATTTGCAGAAGATGAAAGCCTTTTACCTGTTTGTTAAAATGTCTAATATAAAGATTTTTTCTTAATTAATAACAGTGAAGGTACTGCAAAAAATGGTTATTTCTAGCTTGAACCTGCACCCAAGAACTGTGATGATGTTATTGAAGTTCAGTGGAGATCCCTCACAATAAAAGGTAACTATAAGTAAATCAACCATTTTACTAAAATGATATTTAATCACTATTACTTGCATATATTAATGGATGTAATGGTTTGTATATTTATAGAATTGATGAAGAATTACATTTATTGCCTATTGATTTTCTTTCTATGATTTGATCAGGGGATCTAATTTTTTTGTACAGAACATACTCATTTCTATGCGATTTATTAATATGGTATTTTTGTTATTTTCCAGGTTAAAGATAATTTGAATGTATGTAGGTTTGACTGGTTTTGAGAGAATGGGCTTGGAGCTCGCGGCAAAAGGTATGTAGGTTTGACTGGCCAATTTCTCAATTGAGTTATACATGTTTCTTTAGTCTAAATAAATTTCCTGAAAGAATCAAAATCATCAGTAAAAAGTTATTGGTTGTTGAACAAAGGATGCAGGGCAACAACTAATAGCACCTTGTGAAATCTTTTGGTTTAATGCAAAGCATGCAACTAATAGCTTTTTCTTGAACAAAGGATGCACGGCAACAACCATGTTGTGTTATAATGCTTGAGGTAAGTGCTATCTATATTTGTTTCTACTAAAATTACAATTTCCTTAGGAGATATTTCATGAAGGAATCAATTTACAATTACTTTTTAATTTTTATCAATTTCTGCTAAGTTCTTGATAACCTTATCTATTTGAAAAATCAAGTTTCACCATGGTTGGAAGTTTTGGGTAGAAAAGCAACACGACATGTGATAAATGCCAACTAATTCCAATTTATTAATTGGAAATATGTAATGTATTAACAATCAATACTCTACTCTACTGATAATGGCTACATGATTAAGAAGATGTAAATTATCCAAGTTTTAAAGCTGATGCAAGATGCTTTGAGTAGTTTCAAGACTTTATTAAGCGAAATAATGTAAGCACATTTCCAGTTCTCATGTATATTATTCTGAATTTTTTTCATATATTTTAATAACTTTTATCATGTGTGTAATGAAAAATGTTGCTCCTGATGAACTTTTATAACCTGATTTTCAGATTTTGGACTTTCATATCAGAAACAATAGATGTTGTTTTGTGGATGAATTTGTAATAATAATATAATCTTTTCTTCTTCTTCAAGAGTTAGTGTGGTACGAGTTGTATCAATGCATGCTTCATAATAAGAATTAATATTGAGTAGTTAATAATGAAAAACATGATGCTCTTCACTTGAATTATTTCTTAACAAAGTCACACATTGATGCTTTCTTCCCTTTATAATGTGAAGAATTAATATTTTCATGGAATTATCTAATATCAACCGGTAATGTCATCAGGTGGATGGTGCCTCTTTCCTGCAACCGTTCAGGACTTTTACGCTTATGCTTAGACCAGGCCAACTAGGGATGGATACTTGTCCGGAACCGGCCTGAACCGAAAATCAAATATGACCAAAAAATAGGAACCGAAAACCAGACCGATTATATGAATACGAGACCGGCTCCGGTTCAGGTATTAACTGGGAAGGATCGAAAAATATGAGCAATTTGCTTTGGAACCAAAAAGAACCGGTTTAGGTTCTAGAACCGGAAAAAGCGGACTCTTGTGGTAAAAAAAAAAAAATGTTTGCAGGGGATATTTGGTGCTCTCTCTTTAATTAAAAAATACCATAGGAAGATTGTAAATCACCATATTTTAATTACCAAAGAAAAAAAATCATATTATGATGATATCTAGGAATCAAATAAACTTTGCTAGTATTTAAACTTTTTAAATTATATTTTTCAAACACATGTCGCCTTGATACAAACTATAAACTTACTAAAAAAATAAATTATTAGCTTTAATTTTGATACGCGTATTTTTTTAAATTGTTTCTTAATATTTAAATATTTTTAAAATTTTTCCTATCCAACGTATTACTAAAATACAACATTTAAGATTTTTAGATAACTCTATCATTACGATATAACATCGTAACAAATAAAAATATGCAAAAAAATAATTTATAAAATACATTTCAAAAATATTCCACCATCTAGATTCAAAAATCATACTTTCTACTTTAGCTTAAATAACAGGATTAGAATCTTTTGTCCATCTTCTTCTACATTAATACCAATAAAATACAAAAGTTAATCAACAAATCATAAAATGTAAATGTAATGTTTATAATTAAACTAGGGAAGAATCCCACGTTGCGGGGTTGGTTACGGTATACGATATTGGTTACTTTGGTTTCAAAAAGGGCTGATGTGTTTATCACTTTATTTGGTAATTTGTAGCATCTTTTCGAATATAATTTTCATGTGTTCAAACCGATATTAGTGGCTAATGCTTCCGGAAATCACAACCAAAAATAAATTGAAGTTAATATTCT